TAATCAACTAAATGATATATTCACATTAAACCTAAACTTGGTGTTAACACTGTACACTTCTTGATTTTCAATAAACCTCAGTTTGTTCAAAAGCAATACCTGCAAGAAAAATATAAACAGAAAAAAATCTTTTTTTTTTTTTGCTCTTGAGACAGACTTTTTCTGAATAGCCTTGGCTGTCCTCAAACTCCCAAACTCAAAGATCTACTTGCCTCTACCTCCTGAGTGCTAGAATTAAAAATGTGCACCACCACTACCCAGCTATTTTTTTTTTTAAATCTCCTAGAGTTGCCAGAAAGATAGGTAAATGGACTGACCAACTGAATCCAGATCCTAGAATAATAAATATAAAGGTAAGGTAAACAACTCCACAAATTTCTACTCTAACCCACACATCAAATGCATACTCAATAAAAAAATAATCACCAATTAAAAGAAAGAAAGGAACAAACAACAAAATGAAAGAAAGTCTCTACCCAGGCAGTGATGACACAGTCTTTAATCTGCTGGCAACTCGGGGAGGTCTGCATTCTAGGCCAGCTTGGTCTACAAAGGGGTTCTAGGACAGCCACTCTGCTCTCTGCCTGCAACAAGGCTGTGTACACTGCCATCAGTCTTTCACCAACACTTTCCGACTCCTACACGCTCAAATGTTTTGATAACCAAAGAACTGCAAATTCCTTAGACTGTGTTATCCTCTCTTCCATCTGTCTCCATGAAAACACCCCAACCCTCAGCATAGGTTCTAGTCACATCACTTGTATTTACTTTGTGTGAAATACCCTTCCTCCTGTCTAAGAAAAGCTAAGTACTTTCATCAGCCCTAGCAACTTTTTTTTAAAATACACACTTTGCTACATGAATTTCTCCAGCAACAATCACGACCCATGTCTGAAATACCCCTATCAGCTTCCTTTCTTTTTTCTTTGCGGAGGGTTTCAAGACAGGGTTTCTTGAGTCCTGGAACTCAGTCTGTAGACCAGGCTGGCCTATAACTCACAGAAATCCACCTACCTCTGTCTCCTAAATACTGAGATTAAAGGCATGTGCACCACTGCCTGGCCCCTATCAGCTACCTTTGAAGATTCCAGAGCACTATTTGGAAAAAACACCTGTGTGTTTGTATTTGCACCACCTCACCAGATCCTGCACCACCAGGAGCAGATAGATACCACCTTGGTTCATCTTTGTATCCCAATGTCTAATCCTTGGTAAATACTCAGGAACTGCTGGCTACAAATGAAGATAGTGCCTTACTCAATTCAGAAGAAACTTCAAAATATCCAAGTTTTAACTCACTCTCCCAGCATATTCATTCATTCACTCTCTCACACACAAATACACATGCACACTTCCTATAATCTCTTAGTAAACTACCTACCCATCTTCCACAACTTGAAACTTGGGAATAAGCTTAGATTTTTATCACCTAGTTACTTATACTGGAATCAATACCAACTTAAGTCTCAGCTACCTAACTTCCAAACCTTCCCACTTTTTTCCATCTTCTGTGATCAAGACCACCCTCACTAGAGCAAGCATCCTTTAAATCTCACTTCTCTTCCTCTTTGCAAGCCTTTCCTCACTTTAATACGTAAGTATAACTTTGCATCCATTCAAACAGCTAACATGTAAGTTTTAAACTTCTATAAGCATTGTTAGTCGCACATGGTTAACCCCTTGTTCATCTCTAACTTTCTGCTGTCCCTCCAGGCGGGTGGTATTTACAGGTTCTTGGAATGATCACTGTCTAGCCTCACATACTCCCCTATTCCAGTCAAGGGATACTCTTATTAGCAGTATCTAGTATCTACTTTAAGACTCCTAAACAGCAAACAAATTCTTCAAAGATAGCCACCAGTGTCTATAAAGGTGGACCATCATTGTAATCCCAGCACTCAAGGAGGATAAGGCAAAAGGAAGGAAATACCAGTTCATTATCAGTAGGGGTGGGGAGCCAGCTCCATCAGTAAAATGCTAGCCACTCGAGCATGAAGTCCTAAGTTTGAGGCCCCAGTACCCATGTAAAAGCTAAGCAATGACATGTAATCCCAACCCTGGGGGGAAGTTGAGAGAGAAGCCCCGAACCTTGTTGCCTAGACTATCTTAACCAGTAAATTTCAGATTAAGAAAGTCCCCAACTCAAAAATAAGGTCAGGTGTGATTATGGAACACAGCCAAAAATCACCAGCTTGCCCACACACACCACCAACAAATAAACGTATGTGTATACACACAATAATAATATCACGCTGGACCAAGGTTTCTGGTTCTACATGTAAATGCAGTTCTTAATCCTTAAGCTAGGTATCAATGGCTCAGACCTGTGATCCTGACACAGAGGAAGCAGGCATGATTGTTATGGTTTGAAGTCAGACTGAGTTATAGTATAAGATTGTCATGTATGTATGTATGTATGTATTTCTTGGTGTGATAAAAGAAAACAAAGAAGCACTACATTTTTCTTCCTCTTTTTAAGAATCCTTTTGGCCTTTTTAATCCCAGCATTCAGGAGGCAGAGACAGCTGGATCTCTGAGTTTGAGGCCAGCCTGGTCTACAGAGTTCCAGGAAAGCTAGGGCTATACAAAGAGTCACCCTGTCAAAAAAACAAACAGGAAAGCATCTTTTTTGCCATGCATGGTGATTCTACTGGAGGACACAGGGCAGGCAGAAGCATCTCAAAAGATTTCAAGCAGAAAGTGGGCAAGGTGGCACATGACTTTAATCCCAGCACTCTGGGAGACAGAGGCAGGAGGATCTCTGAGTTCAAGGACAGCCTGGTCTACAAAGCCCAGAACAGGATTACACAGAGAAACTCAGTCTGAGCTACTGGGCTATTACAGTGAATTCCAGGCCATCTTGTAGTGCAGTAAGTCTTTGTCTCAAAACAACAAAAACAGTGCCTGAAGAGATGGCTCAGCAATGAAGAGCACCTGTTGCTACTGCTATGGTTGGTTCAATTCCCAACACACACATGGTGTCATATAGCTGTCTTTTTTTTTTTTTTAAGCACAGGCCCTCACTCTAGTCCAGGCTGTCCTGAAATCTGCAATTTCTTGCTTCCAGCTTCCAAAGGCTACAATTATAGGTACACCATGATTAACAGTGTAGCCTTGGCTGTCCTGAACCAACTTTGTAGAGCAGGCTGGCCCAGAACTCAGAGATCCGCCTGCCTCTGCCAGGATCACCTGTGTGTGGCATCACTCAGCTGAGTGCTTTTATTCTTATGTTTGCCTCTCTGCTCCCATATTCTTAAACTTCTAAAAGACTTTGGGCTAATGAAATAAAACTCTGCTCCAAGACTTACTTGATCACTAGCTCCAAACTTTCAGTCCTTGCCTTTGTCTTTATCCATTCTATCTGTATGTCCTTTAAATAAAACCCTACCACTAACTTCCTACAGTGGAGGTGCAATTAACCGGTAACATTTAATGTGCACATTATACATCATCAAGTGCTGTCCTGGCTTTTATTTTGTCCCTTTCTGTAGCCCTAGCTGGCCAGACACTGTATCACTTTGTCATCCAGACTAGACTCTGACTGAAAATAATTAGTCTCATCCTCCTAGAGTTCTGGATGACAGTTTTCACAGCATTCTCACTTACCCCTCACCACAACCTATGATGGTGGTGCTACAGTTAAAGATGAACAGAAGTGGGTTCTTCGCTCAGGGTTTGGTTAATAAAGGCATGGGATTCGCAATTCTCAAAGTCTGATTCCAACACCCATTTACTTTTTTGCTCAGAAGGTTTTTGTTTTGTTTTGGAGATTGGCTCTCACTATGTAGCCTTGGATGGCCTAGAACTGGCTATGTAGACCATGCTAGCCTCAAAATTATTTTCTCTCTCAACAAAATTGCGGCTTGTTCTTTGAGGCATTTATTTTAAAGTAAGAATCTATATCTAAAAACAAATTTTATCTGTGGAGCTGGAAAAATGACACACCAGTTAAGAGAACTTACTGCTCTTACAGAAAATCTGGGTTCAGTTCCAAAGCATACACATGGCAGCTCCAGTCTCGGGGATCCATACCCTCTTCTGATCTCTGGGGGCACCAGGCACATACATGGCACACACACACACACACACAATAAGCATGAACAAAATAAATCTAAAAGGTAAAAAAAAAAAAAAATCCAACTTGCTAAGAGGCTTAATTAATCACTATTTACTCTCTTAGCTCCCCATTGTGTCTGTACGTGCATGTTCACAGCATGCAGAGGGCAGTGCACAACTTTGTGCAGTTGATTTTCCTTTTTAACCTTTATATGGGTTCTACAGAATGAACTCAGGTCTATAGGATTACACAAATAAGTACTTTTATCCACTCAGCCATCTTGATAGATCCATTTTAAACTCCTTCCAAGTACTGAGAAACAGAAAAGTACAATGTCAAAATTTCAGAAAGACACTACTAACCATGGCATGAAAAAAATACGGGCTGGAGAGATGGCTCAGAGGTTAAGAACACTGACTGCTCTTCTAGAGATCCTGAGTTCAATTCCCAGCAACCACATGGTAGCTCAAAACCATATGATCTGATACTCATTTCTGGCATGCAGATGTACAAGGAGACAGAGCATTTGTATATATGAAGTACATAAATAAAAACAAACAAGCAAAAACCCCTCCACCCTTTATGGCAGGCTGGTGGTGGCCCATGCCTTTAATTCCAGCACTGGGAAAGCAAAGGCAGGCAGATCTTTGTCAGTTCCAGGGCAGCCAAAGCTATACAGAGAAACCCCTTTTCGAAAAACCAAAAAAAAAAAAAAAAACAAAAACAAAAAACAAACAAACAAACAAACAAACAAAAAAAAAGCACATAAAAGGTCATTTGCAAAAATGTTGTTATTTTGGTTTCTTCATTTTCTTTCTTCATTTTTATTTACTACATTATAGCTCAGGCTGGACTCAAACTCTCAATCCTCCTTGACATGGCCCCTTCATTGCAGAAATTATAGGTGTGCACAAATGACCACGCCCAACTCAAAACTTAATTTAAAAAAAAAAAAATTCAAATTTTTGTATCATCCTTGCACAGAGGCCATGCTATTCTTCTCTGTATTACTCCAATTTTAGTATATGTGTTACCAAAGCCAGCACAAAAGTTTTAATTTGTCTTAATCTTTGGTATAAGTTGTTTCACTCACCCATTAATTTCACTAATGTTTCTTATACTCAAAATAATTTCAAATCAGGTATAATGTAGCATGCCTCTAGTCCTAGCTACTAAAGAGGCTGAAATGAAAGGTTGGTTAAACCCTAGAGTTTTCAGACCACCTACGTAAAAGAGCAAGACCCTATCTCAAAAGAAAAGAAAAGGAAGGAAGGAAGGAAGGAGGGAACAAAGGAACAAAGGAAAGAAGGAACTAGAAACCACAAAACAATTATTTCCTATTTTCCATTAATTGATGGCAGACTGACCTCTGAATTGTTTCTGTAAATTCACGAAAAATTGTTTTATACTTCCACTTAGAAGGTAACATTCTTCCTACACTTCTTACCTTTCTTTAACCATTTAATATGTCTACAAACACCACTATGTATTGATTTTCAAGTGCTTTAGTTTATTTTCAAGTTGAACAGACTACAGGAGGTAGAATATAAAATTCCAAAGGGCAAAGGCAGAAACCCTCTTCTCCCTCCTTTCCTCCCTCATCAATTCACTGGGCATGCTAACACATTCTCTACTTATGCAACAGAACACAAGCTCTTGCTAGGAAAAGGCACCCATATTGTAACACACAGGACTTACAACTTAAAATGTCACTTTATCTCACTGTCAACCAAACAATCTTCTTGAGATCCTATCACTGATTTTACAAGGCCTTGAAGAATTTTAAGGTACCAGACAATGTGTTCTGCTATTTCACCACAGTCAGCAATGCATCACCAAACCAAGGGGTTGTTCAACCCATTTGATTCAGAAGCAACTAATATACCGTTTGCAACTAAAAAACAAAATTAAAATATAATGCTAAGTAGGATAAGTCACTTACTTATACAAAGTTAACTTGAGAAAAACTGAATTTTAAAAAATGTGTGGCTTGTCCCTATAATCCCAGCACTAGGGAGCCAGAGGGGGAAAAATATCAAGACAATCATTCTTACCAGTTTTCTAGTGCTTATACTAACCTAGTGGTCAAAAGTCAAGTTTACTTTATACAGTATGTCCTTAGTGTCTTTGAAATTGGGGGAGGATTGGTTTGGGGCACAAACCCAAGACAATCCACTTACCACACAGTAGGGCTACAGAAGAAACCTTAGCCCTACTTAATTATGATAGGTCCTAAAACTGTTACCATCTTGACATAGCCTGTTCTTAAGTGCTCTTAAGTGATTTCCACGCAGTGACAAAATGTTCACTGAGCAATGAAAGGAACACTGTCATCATTGCCATCACTGATGGTCAGTTCAACAAGTATTAAAAAAAACAACAACAAAACACTCACCTAGAGACCGGATAGGCTAGGAACAGATGGAAGGAGAGGATTCCCCCATCAGTGGACTGGGGGAGGGGTATGGGAGGAGGAGGAGGAAGAGAGGATTGGGAGGAGACAAGAGAGGGGCTACAGCTGGGATACAAAAGGAATAAATTGTAATTAATTAAAAAAATTAATTTAAAAGCTCACCTATTAACTTCTGTTACCAATTTTAGGGAGGGAGGGAGGGAGGAAGGGAGGAAAGGAGGGAGGGTGGTGGCACACGCCTTTAATCCCAGCAATGGAGAGGCAAAGGCAGGTGAGTTCCAGGCCAGCCTGGTCTAAAAAGCAAGGCCAGGTCAGCCAGGGTTTGTTTGAAATCCTGTTTCAAAAAAATAAGTGAGTTAAATATTTATCTGTTTTGAAGTACCTCAGAGCTTACCACCTCACAGATTTAGTTTTCTTATAAAGAAAGCACATTCAAACACTTGATAGGTATATTTATACTACCCACTTAAAGCCTAATTTACTTTAAGTTTGTGGAGTCCAGCTGGAGAAATAGCTCAGCAATAGAAAGCAGTGGATGCTCTTCCAGAGAACCCAGGCTCAATTCCCAGCACCCACATGACAGCTCACACTGCTCTGCAACTCCAGTTCCAGGAGACCCAATACCTCACAGATGCGTACACAGGAAAGAAAAAAACAAACAAAAAAACACACATTTTTAAAAAAAGGTTGAGCAGGGCTGTGTTGCCACACACCTTTGGTCAGAGTGCTCCGGGAGGTAGAAGCAGCCCCGGTCTACAGACTTAGTTCTAGGACTGCCAGGGCTTCAGAGAAACCCTGTCTTGGACAAAGGGAAAAAAGGGTTGTAGAATCTAGAATTTTGACTAGCTTTAGATAAAATAAAAATCAGGCACAACTACTTTCACATTTGTTAAATAGCCAACTGACTTCTTAAAAATCAAAATACAAGCCAGGTGGTGGTGATGCAGGCCTTTAATCCAGCACTGGGGAGGCGGATCTTTTATTTTGAAGCCAGCCTAAGTCTATAAGAGTTCCAGGACAGCCAGGAATACAAGGAGAAACCCTGTTTCAGAAAACAGATAAATAAATAAATACAGACACTGCAGATTTTAAATGTAAAATGCTTCCTTCTAAGTTACCTAAAAACATGTATTACTATCATATCTGTTTCTGGATGCAAAGAACTACCCTCCATGGTAAGTCAAGAAGAGACAGCACTTTCTTTACACTCATTCCCCCACCCCTGCAAAAAAACAAAACAAAAATGCTAGGCTGGTACAATTTAAATTGTATAGCAGCTGGGACTGGTGGCACACACCTTTAGTCCCACCAGTGGGAAGGTGGGAAGATGAAGGCAGTCAGATCTCTCTAAATTCCAAACCAGCCAGGGCTTTGTAATGAAACCCTGTTATCAAATTTAAAACTAAATAAACAATAAAACAAAACAAGCAAAAAAAAAAAAAACAAGCCTCGAGAACTCTTGAGGCACAGGCAGAAGGTTCTCAGTGAGTTTTGAGGCCAGTCTGGTAACATTCAGAATTCCAGAGCAGTCAAGAGCTACATAGAAAGACCGAGTCTCAAAAAAAAAAAAAAAAGAATTACTAAAAAATATACATATATATATTTTACCCTCACCACAACTTTTAAAGTTACTATTATTAACATATATTAATATAAACCTTAGTACTAAGAATAAATCAATCTCAGTGTTGAATTTTTTCCCCATTTAAAGCTCTAGTAATTGGTGCAATGTGATGGTGGTGAACGCCTCAGAGCTTGGGAGGCAGATGCTGGTGGATCTCTAAGTTCCAGGTTAGCCAGTCTACATGTCTAAACAAAGACAGACATAGACACACACACACACACCAATTACTCCAGTAATTGTATTCAAAAATATTCAAAGCAAATTTTGCTTTTTAACGATTTAAGTTAGCCAAAGCTATACAAGTTAGGAAAGTATATAGATCAAACTCTAGAGAATAGAGTAGACCACCTGTACAGAAATGTTTGAACAGAATTTCAAGACTAAGGCACTCAAATCAAGACTTATCAAAATAATTCATTTTAAAATTCATTTCCATACTTTATTTCATGTTCCTGGCTAGGTCAAATGTGCTAACTTGTGAACATGTTACAGAACTGCATTTATTATGGGGGCAATGTCTAAAGCCGGGTGGTGGTAGTGCGCCCCTTTAAAGCCAGCACTGGGGGGAGCAGAGGCAGGCAAATCTCTGAGTTCGAGGCCAGCCTGGTTTACATTGTGAGTTCCAAGACAGCCAAGGGCTACACCAAGAAATCCTGTCTCAAAAAAACAGTAGAAATAAAAAAGTCTATGCATATCAATTTTGAAGTCATAATGGTTTACTTCTCTAAGGAAAAAAACTTGAAAGCTGGTTACGTGTAACTAAAGTTAGTGCCTTGGAGAACACTGCAAAATTCATCCTTCCCAACTGTTGCAGGTTAACAAAACTCATGATTCATAATACAAGTGCTAAATGCAAAAAAGCAGTTGTTCTATCTTCTTTTCATAGTCTAATATAAATCCTACTCAGAAACACGGTCAACAAAGTTCCCTACAAACTTGCAGAGCACCTTCAACTGCACTGTACCCTCTAACTGGCAGATGGAGGGGAGGTGCTGAGCCTGTTCTCTAAGGTAGAGACGCTTGTGGTAAGCGGGAACATCTTTGTGGACTGTCAGATGACCGGCCATCACTGGTCTCCATTATCCCGGACTCTCAAACAAGTCAGATGGCAAAAAAAGAACCATGTTGGTAACCTTCAGAATAACACCAAACTAACAGGAAGCAGAAAAAAAGAACGGGATAATGGAAAGTCTCCCTGCATGTCTCCTAACAAAGGGGCTGACTGCAGGAAAGAACTCCTTGATCTTGTAAACTGAAACTGCAAAAAAGGTCCAAAAAGTAAAACAACATACACAAGCACAAAACTTACTATACATTTCTAAACATGTACAATTACTTTAGTTGGAAGTTCCTGACAGGGACGCTTTCAACTTATCTTCATTTCTAAGTAGTTAATTCAAGAAAAAGCTTCATCTTTTCTCTTTCCTCATAAGTAAGAAAGTGTCAACAAACTGCGAAGAAAATGCCTCAGGTCACCTCACCTGAAGACCCAGTTTGAGACATTTTGGTTCCACACTGACTCTTAAGGAAAGGATGAGGAGAAGGGGCCTAAGAACAGTATTTTGTTAAACTTCACGTTACGGTTAAAACCTTGGATCGCACACACCAAGATTTTTTTCTTCCATCCCCATTCCTCAACAGAAAATCTGCTACACAGGAGCAAAAACCTTTTAAAGTGGGAAAGCAGAGGAAAAAGAATTCAGTGCAGCAGGAGAGAAAGATTTGAAATCCCTCATTAACCAGTAACCAAAAAAAAATAATAATATATATATATTATATATATATGAAGTACATAAAAGCCCTTACACACGATAGTACCGGCATTTCTCAAATTAAATTGCATGGAGCCAACAATAAAGGTCCATGCAGCACCCACTTCCGAGCTCTTAATTCCAGAACACACACAACGATGTGACATGACACAGTGTTGCAATGAATGTATCAGAAGGCGAAGAAAATGGTCGGGCTACTGGACGTCTCCGACCAGACCATTCAAGCACCTTCAAGATTAAAAACACCAGCCGGGGAAAAGGGGAAGAAACAAGCAGAAACACCGAGGGATAAAGGTGCAACGAGCAGGACGGACCAAGGGAGACGTGGAAAGCCGGGAGCCCCGAGACTAACCTGTGCCGTCGCTGGCCGACGCGGAGAGGGCCGGAGATGAGAGTTTAGGCCGCTTGGCTGAAGGCGGCCCCGGTTCCACCACATTCTCGGCCATTTTTAATTCTTTCGGAGATGCGGCCGAGGAAAACAGAGAATCCCGGGGAAAGCTCCTCTTCGGCCCCGGGTCCCCGCCCCGCTCCCACGGGTGGGCTCCGGAGCTCGGCCGCCACCCGGGGGGGGGGGAGTGGGGGAAGTTCCTTTTTCTCTTCGCCCGGTCTGCGGCGGCCGGAGAGGGATGCGGACTCGACAGAAATGGTAGGGGCAAGTGCGAGGGGCCGGGCCTGAGGAGGGCACGTCCGCCGCAGCGAAGCCTCGGGAACTCGCGGCTCTACAGACGCAGTCCCCAGCCCGCCACGGCGGGCGCCCGGCCGGCCGAGGTCTCCCGGAGCTGCGCCGCCGCCATCAGCCTCTTCCTCCTCGGCGCTGTCCTCCTCCTTCTCATCGCCACAAGGAGGCGGGGGCGAAAAAGGGGGAGAGGAGGAGGCGACCAGAGACACTCACCTCCTCCCGGTGCCCCCTCCCGGGCCTGCGCCCCCACCCTGCGAGCCCTCCTCCTCCTACTCCTCCTCCTCCTCCTGCCGCTGCGCTCCGCGCCGCCGCCGCACCAGCCCCTAATGGCCGCGCCGAGCCCCGCCGAGCCGAGAGCCAGAGTGGCGCCGCCGCCGCCTCACATCGCGCGGCCGACAGCGGAGGCGAGGCGACGACGGAGAGCGCGGAGCTTCCCCCCGGCCCGGGGGGCCGGGCCGAGCAGGGCCGCCCGTCCGCCCGCCCGCAGGCCCGCGCCGAGCCCACCGACGCGGCCTCTCCGCGCACCGCGCTCCCCGCCTCCGCCCGCCAAGCCGCGGAGGGAGACGAGCGCGGCCGCCTCTCCGGCCCTCGCCCCCCCCGGCTGCCGGTGCCGGGCGCTCCCGCCCCCCCGGGGCTCGGCTCGGGGCCGCCGCGGACGGCGGGCGAAGGCGCCGCGGGGCCCGGGGTTATGTAATGTCCTCCCCCCTCAGGCGTCGACGCCGGTCCCGGCCGCCGTGGGGGTGTGTGCGGGCAGGAGGGGGCTGGGGGTCGCCTCAGCCCGTGCGCCCCGGGCCCCCTGCCACTGTCTCGGCCGCGGCCGCTGCTCTCCGGCCCGGTCCCCTCCGCACTCCCTGCTCCCGCAGTTCGAACTCAGCCGGGCGTCCCGCTTGCCCCACTCTCGCCCGGTCCCTCTCGCTCGCTCTCTCCTCTCTCTCTCTCTCTCTCTCTCCCCCCCAGCCTAGCACACAAACAAGATGGCGGCTGTTGTTTCTTGCCTCTGCCGAATCCTCCTTACAGGATAGCGGTAGCGGCGGCGGCCGGAAATGAGCCAAAGATCGGGGGAGGGGGGGGGCAAGCAGGGGAGGGGCCGGGGGCTCGGGGGCGGGGCGGGGGCGGGGCCTCGGCCTAGCAGCTCACACAATGGGGGAAGCGGCGCCGGGGGCGGGGCCGGCTCTAATCATGGGATCCGCCCAAGGGCCCAACGCGGTAGGCGCTTCCGCAAACTCCCCCGGCGTCACTCGGTGGCTCCCTTTAAAGGGGAGGTCCTGAAGAGGCGGGGGGGTCCGGGGTGGACCTAGAACGTATTTTCAGTCGGTGGACACTTAGGTGCCTGGGCTGGGTCTTTGCGCAAAAGGCGGTGGGAGCTCCAGCGCTCCTCGGCGAAGGCCGGCGGAGACACGGTCCGATCGCCCGGTTTTGCCCTCTCGGGTTGAAGATCCTTGAAACCCTGTTAAATCCGCAAAGCACCTGCGTTTCGGGATAGACACCCATTGCATCCCCTCCCGTTCCGAAAGGAACGGTTCATATCCCAAAGTCAGAAAAGCGAGTCCTTTACATTTCTCCGTGAAATGTGTGATGCAAAAGGGAAAATTTGGACTGCGGAAATATTGTTGACTAGAAAAAACTGGGGTGGGGGGAAACCACAGGGAGGCGATTCGGGGCTAGACTCCTGCATGTTTTTTGTTTGTTTGTTTGTTTGTTTGTTTGTTTGTTTTTACCCATCTCGTGTCTACACACCCTTACCAGGTACCACTCTCGGAAAAGAAGCCTTGAGAACTGTTTTTCTGAACCTGCCTGAAACTTCCAAGGTCCTTTGGGGATGTTTCCACCCATCTCTAACAGATGAGCTTAATATAAGACCACGTTATGAAGAGCCTTAAATATAACGTAAATATGGAAGACAAGAAATGTTGAGTGCTAAAAATACTGCAACACTAGGAAAAAGTGAGGAAATGTGCCTATGAAGTGTAGGGCACCACAACTTAGCAGCAGAAAGCTGGGAGCATGCTTTCACGTTCCTCGGATTCCAGGGTTTTCCTGTGTTTAGCATCCTGAAATCAAATGGGGTGGGGAAGGTAGCAAGGTTCCAGGTGACACTGAATCTTCAAGCCATTACCGATTGGATAGTGGGCTTGCCTACTATTCCTGAGACCTTAAGTTCAGTCGACAGGACTTCCAGGAAACACATTTTTCTCAGATTTGTCTTTTTTTTAAATTACATTTATCTTGTGTATCTTCCTCTGTTGGTATGTGTAAACGGGTGACCATACTTGTCCATGGCCCACATGTGGAATTCAGAGGACAAACCTGGAGAAGTCATTTCTCTCCTTCAGTACAGTATGGGCTCCAAGGGTCCAACCCAAAGCTCTGGCTTAGCAGTTTGGTTCTACACCGACTGAACTGTCTCATCAGGCCCTATTTTCTGTATTTCCTATCTTATCCTGTTTTGCTAGTGGCTGGACTCCCTTAGTTTCTGCCACTTAACTTAAGAGAATAGCTTAAGAAACTAAATTAGCTGGAAGGTGGTGGCACAGACTTTTTAATCCAGGCCTGCACAGAGAAACTCCTCCTCAAAGAAAGAAGAGAAAGAAAAACTAGAAGCTGGTGAGGTGAAGACCAGATTTCCTTCCCAGGAGCCATGCGCTAGAGAGGGCAGCCTCCGAAGAATAACAGGCATCTAGAACTGACTGATGATCCTATTAGGAAGCAACTCTGGAAAGGCAGTGACAGACACACCTTTAACCCCAGCACTTGGGAGGTAGAGGCAGGTAGATCTCGCTAAGTTTGAGGCCAACTTAGTCTAGAGTTCCAGGATGGCCAAAAAACCAAAAGAACTAATGTAGCAACTCCAGTTGCCTACCTAATTAATTTTGTCTTGTGATCTGGAAACCTAGTTAAAGCAAACTAGTCGGGGAGAAAAATGCAGTACCTGGGAATTGAAGCCATGGTTTGGAGTAACTAGGCAAGGGCTCTCTACTGCTGAGCTACAGTCTGACCCACAAAGTGTTTTTTATTTTCACTTTGAAGCAAGGTCTCATTAAATTGCCCAGGCTAGCTTTGAACAAGCAGTCCTCCTGTTTCAACCCCCTGAGTGCTATAATGATGACAGGGTTAGGCCACCACACACGGCTCAGGAAGTACCTCCTGAAAACTGTCACAGGATGGGGCTAGAAATGTGGCTCAGTTGGCAGAGTGCTCTCCTGGCATGTGTGAGACCCTGGGTTCAAATCTCCCAAATCTCTGGCACCATGACTAGGCATGCTTTATCCCAGCACTTAGAGAATGGGGGCGCAGAGGTAGAGGGGAAAGCAGGACAAGATCAGGGCCTTAAAAGTAACTTTTAAAACATCAAAAGTGGGATCATGCCTTTAATTCCAGCACTTGGGAGGGGGAGAAGGCAGGGAGATCTCTTATTAGTTTGAGGCCTGCCTGCTCTACATAGTGATTTCCAGGACAGCATGGGCTACATAGAACCTATCTCCAAATAAAAAGAATAAAATAAAAGGTGGGATTTTAGGGGCTGGAGAAACAGCTCTTCCAGCAGACCCAGATTTGATTCCCAGCATTGACATGGCCAATTTATAACCAGGCATTGCCCACATAACATACATTTAGACAAAACATTCATAGGTCTTTTTCAAAGTAGGGAGAGGCAGGTGGATCTCAGTGAGTTCAAGGCCAGCCTGGTCTACAAAGTGAGTCCAGGACAGCCAAAGCTATACAGAAAAACCTTGTCTCAAAAAAAAAAAAAAAAAAAAAAAAAAAAAAGATAGCCAAGCCTGGTGGCACATGCCTTTAATCCCAGAACTCTGAAGGTGAAGGCAGGCAGAGATCTGGGAGCTCAGGGCCAGCCTGGTCTATACAGAATTTCAGGAAAGCCAAGGCTACATAGAGACACCCAAAGAAAAGACTATGATCATTGTCTTGGGGCTATAACTTAATGGTAGAGCAGTTGTGTGATAGGCGTGAATCTTGGCAACTATCCTCAGCTCTTCAAAAAGAGAAAAACACTTAGGCAATATAAGTGGTCTATTACGAATTGGGGGACTCAGGAGACAATAGAGACTAGCAGGTAAGAGTTGGGACAATGAAGCCAGAAAGTGCTGGGCTTCAAGTCTTGCTGTATCCTTTAGAAACTATGTGACTCAGGCAAATTAACCATCTATGGGGTGAGTTTCATAATCAGGCCTGCTCTATTCTGTGGCTGGACAGGAGAGCATGGAGAGAGCATGGAGTTAGTTTGCCTTAGGCTGTATCCCCATGACAGGAAGAGGAAGGATGGTAAAACCACTTACAATGCCTGGTGCATAGTGACCACTCAATACGCCGTTACCATTTTACATCATCCTACGGAATCCAGAAAGGATGGAGGCAGGGGGGGAATCTCAAGGGTGAGACCAGCCTGTCTGATAGAGACTCAAAAACTATGATTAACGAAAAGGAAAGAATTGAACATAACTCGAAGGAGTTATCAGGAGCCTAGGGAGATGGCCCAATTAGAAAAGTGTTTGCCTCACAAACATGAGGCCCAAGCTTTGAACCCCAGCGCCCGCATTAAAATGTATTTTTCAAAAACTGGTGGCAAGGGGCTGGAGAGATGGCTCAGTGGTTGAGATGGCTGCCCTTCCAGAGGTCCTGAGTTCAATTCCCGGCAAACACATGGCTCATGATCCTCTTCTGGCATGCAGGTGAGCATGCAGCTAGAGCACTCATAGACATAAAATAAATAAGTCTTTTTTTTTTTTTTAATTAGCATGTAATTCCAGCAGAGGCAAGTGGAGCTGAGTTCAAGGCCAGCCTGGTCTACAAAGCTGTCCATCACAGCCAAGGCTACATGGTCTTGAAAAACAACTAAAATAGGCAGCTGGAGAGATGGTTCAGCGGCGAAGAGCACACTATCTGTTCTACTAGAGGTCCTGAGTTCAATTCTCAGCACACAGGTGAACATGCACATAGAGCAACCATATACATTAAATAATTTTAAAAAAAACTAAAATAAACTAAATAAATGGAAATTAAAAAGTGGTAGCACACACCTGTAACCCTAATACTGAAGAAGACAAAGACAACAAGGGGAACCCTGGAGTTTTCTAGCCAGCTAACTGGCCGAACTGGTGAGCTCCAACTTCAATGAGAGACCCTCAAAACATAAAGTGGCATACAGAGAAACCCCGTCTTGAAAAACCAAACAAACAAAAAAATAGATGGAGAGGCACAGAGGAAGACATCCAGCACTGAACTCCAACCTCTATATGAATGCACACACATGACCATAGACATGCTCATGCATACATGACATGACGGGTAAGAACTAGAATGACAGCTTGGACAAGTTTAATGCCGAAACCTCATGAACAAAGCTCTTTCCCAGGTGCTCTGATGACTGCCGTAGAGCCAAACCCCCGAGAGCGGGTGTAAGTACATGAGTGATTGCATTAAGCCTAGTGTGTGCCCATCGCTTACACTTGGCTAAGATTTCTTTTTTTTTTTAAGATTGGTTTTTTTTCTTTAGCGTGTGAGTGCTCTATCTGCATGTACACCTGCATGACAGAAAAGATCATCAGATCCCATCATAGATGCTTGTGAGCCACCATGTGGCTGCTGGGAATTGAACTCAGGACCTTTGGAAGAGCAGGCAGTGATCTTAACCACGGAGCCATCTCTCCAGCCCCTAAGATATTCTTTCATGATCCA